AAATGGCAAGGATTTTTTTTCAAAATCGAGGTCGGTGCGAAAATCGAAGCTTTGTCGATGATTTTTTTTTTAATATCTCGGGTAATAGCTCCGCGCGGAGTTATGTCGTTTTGGAACGACATATCTCCGCGCGGAGGAGATCGAGGTCGGTGCGAAAATCGGAACTTTTTCGATGATTTTTTTTTTAATATCTCGGGTAATAGCTCCGTTCGGAGATATGTCGTTCAAAAACAACATAACTCCGCGCGGAGGAGATCGAGGTCGGTGCGAAAATCGAAACTTTTTCGAAGATTTTCCGCGCGGGAGATATGACGTTCCAAAACGACATAACTCCCCGCGGATATGATAAGACCTTCCAAATCATCACGATTTTTTTCAAAATCGAGGTGGGTGCGAATATCGAAACTTTTTCGATGATTTTTTTTTAAGATCTTGGGTAATAGCTCCGCGCGGAGTTATGTCGTTCAAAAACGACATATCTCCGCGCGGAGGACATCGAGGTCGGTGCGAAAATTGAATATTTTTCGATGATTTTTCCGCGCGGAGATATGACGTTCCAAAACGACATAACTCCGCGCGGAGATATGACGTTCCAAAACGACATAACTCCGCGCGGAGATATGACGTTCCAAAACGACATAACTCCGCGCGGAGATATGACGTTCCAAAACGACATAACTCCGCGCGGGAGATATGACGTTCCAAAACGACATAACTCCGCGCGGAGCTATTACCCGAGATATTAAAAAAAATCATCGAAAAAGTTTCGATATTCGCACCCACCTCGATTTTAAAAAAAATCGTGATGATTTGGAAGGTCTTATCATATCCGCGGGGAGTTATGTCGTTTTGGAACGTCATATCTCCCGCGCGGAGTTATGTCATTCCAAAACGACATATCTCCGCGCGGAGCTATTACCCGAGATATTAAAAAAAATCATCGAAAAAGTTTCGATATTCGCACCCACCTCGATTTTGAAAAAAATCGTGATGATTTGGAAGGTCTTATCATATCCGCGGGGAGTTATGTCGTTTTGGAACGTCATATCTCCCGCGCGGAGTTATGTCGTTTTAGAACGACATATCTCCGCGCGGAGGAGATCGAGGTCGGTGCGAAAATCGAAACTTTTTCGATGATTTTTTTTTATTATCTCGGGTAAATAATGTCTGATTTAAAAATGTTATACCTTTTTGAATGCGTACGGATCCCTACCAAACAAATTAATCATTGATGGGTTGAAAAATATTGTTGACAAAAAACCGATTCGTTCGTAACTTCCATCTTTTTGATGATTTTTTGGAATATTTTCGTCAAATAATGTCCGATTTTGGAATTTTATACCATGTTTGACTCGTAAAGATCAGTTCTATCGATTGTCATCAAAAACAAGGAAATCCAACATTTTGACCCAAAACGACAAAATGGCAAGGGGTTACATTACGTTTTTATACCCTGAACCCATTAAAAATGGGTATAAGGGTATATTGTATTTGTGCGAAATCCAAATGTATGTAACAGGTCTGTCTGTCCGTCCGTTCGTCCGTCCGTGTGTATGAACACAAGGATCTCAGAACCTATGAGCTAGAGACTTGAAATTTTAGATGTAGGTGCACCTAGTGCCTGCGAAGATCGAGTTTGTTCCCGATAATCGATAACTTACTCCGTTTCCAAGCAAGCGATAAAAATCGATATCGATAGCCTGTTTTTGGGCAATTTTGGTAATTAATAAAAGCTAGAGTCCCTAAACTTGACTTATAGCTTCTAAAATAGAATATATATATGTATTTGATGTTGGAAGATGAGGGTTCAGGGTATCCCCTAGTCGGGAGCTCCCGACTAAAACCTCTTACTTATTAGCCTTAGGATTTAGTTGATGGTTATTTAAATGGTTTTAAATAAATTTAAATAAATGGGTATTTTCATTTATAGAATACAGTCGTCATTCGCAGGGTTATTACTCAGAAAATAATTGCTAGTTGTTTAATTTTCATTAACGAAAAATGTTAATTAAAATGTACGTACAAAACATCTTATTTATCTGATTCAGCCCGTTTTCCAAGTATCGCTTATTAATCTATATTTATATATTTAAATTTTGATCTAACTACTGTATAGCACATTTTCTTTAAACTCAACTGTCACTTTTATAATTCATTTAATTCATTTTTATAAAGTTTCGGTAAACATGTCTGATATTTGTTCTTAAAAACTCAGCATTTGGTTTAAAGTTTTTACTAGTAGCTTCTTCTGTCTGTCCAATTTGATTGTTTTTGTTTTTTGTATGTATATAAAACTAGAATCACGGTTTGTTATAACGATATCTTAACTTATCGCTTGGCTCACAGTACTCCTTGATAATAAGCTTACATAGGAATATATGAAATACTACGATTATTGCACAGACTGAGACCCAGAAGAGTGCGGGCAAGCCGCCCAGTTGATGACCATGCTTATGCAGCGCGATAACGTGCTGCTCGTGCGCCGGAGCTAAAGATTCAATTGAATTATTAATTCATAAAATATGTAGAAACAGAAAGAGCAGCTTACCCTCAACGACTTCCTTCACGTGTATTGCATGATGGATTTCCTCCATGTGTTGTTTGTCCTCGGTTATATATAATATTGCAGTCAGTGGTTCAGTCAATTTGACAGGAAATTCTCGGCGGTTTTGTCTGTAAAAAGGGATGAGATACTTAGAATGGTAACAATGAAATCGTATTTATGATCGCTATTTACGTCAACAAGATTGGCTCATCCAAACAGCCGCCATCGCACGCATAATAGCTGCGATCGGAACGATCCAGGGCCACATTGATAACCGCTTTGTTGTCATCCTTCACAGTGATTGTGACATTGACATGCGTCTTGTTTCCGTAGTTGAGGCGCCTAAAGTGAAAGTCGCGATGCAAAAATTTAGGATGCATGTTGCATTCCAGATGCTGATTGCTAAATCGAAAGCTACCAAAGCTAAGTGTCATTGCCTGAATGACGCCCGAGGCGCCGGCGCGTATCAGATTGTGACAGCCTTGCTTCTCCAATGTGAGCATCCAGGAGGATACAAGCGAATTGAGTTGAGTTAGCGTTGACATGTCACGCCAAAGATTCTCCGCCTGAAGCGTATGATAGGAATCGTAGCAGCCCTCCGCATATGTCAACGCTTTGGCAATATCCTCTCGTATGCTTGCAGAGCTCCCGAACGAGCCGGAAGTCGCATCTTCAAATTCGAAACTGCGCACTTGAGAGAGCACAGCATACATGGTGGCATTAATCCGATCCCCATTTAAGCTGTTTTCAGCCTTAGAGGTACTTATCGTAAAGCCCGTTGCCCAAAGATCTGCCCAAACATTGATGTGATCCTGGCGGAATGTATTGATGCTGTTTAGCGATCCGGAGCCGGATGCCTTGGCACTGAGCTTCTGCAGCAGCTTTGTCATGGCCTGAATGGAATGCTGCTCGATTGTCCCAATGGTAGCTATCACTTGAGTCTCGGCTACCGGTTTGGAGTACTCGATAATCATGGGGTAAATTATGTGCACGGTGCCGCGCTTGCGCAGCTGTATTTTTGGCTCCAGTTGTGGTTTTGCAATACTAATCACAATCAATTTGCTCGGATCATCCGCAGTGGGCTGCACAGTTGCTGTAATAACTTCCACTGCGCTATAAGTGAGCATGCCTATTTGCGCTGGATCGCTGTAAGTGGCTGGTTAAATTAAACACGCCAGATGAGTTTCCGACCCGGACTTACCTGAGCGGAATGCTGCGCACAGTCGACTTCGGTAGACGATTTCGTGGCATTATGAGATCAATGCTTTCAACCGTATTTCGTGTATTGGTTATTTGCAGCTCTTGCATCAGCACATTGGGCTGTGTGCGATGGGCATAGAGCGTGTAAGACGCAAAGTAGCCGGCAAAGCATTGGAATCGATGTACCATTCCCGTCAGATATTCAACAACAGTGGCCTCCTTCTCACCGGCAACGCCCCCGTTCTGTGATATAGACATTACCGGATGGAAACGTATGGGCAGCTGCATCGCACGGCCGTGCTTGATATTCAATGATGCATCATGAGCGACCTCAATGCCAATGTATCCGTTGCCCACATAGGGCACATAGTCGCGCTCACCGGGCATCAGTGGCGCCACGTGACGTATGTTGGCGTCATACTCGTAGTTCTGCAATATATAGGGCGTGAGTCGGTCGTCCATGCACATGCTATGTGGATCTAAGAGATTGCGGTTACGTTTACGGTAATTAATGATGAGCAAAATGAGATACGTTACCTTTCTGTTCTGTGGGGCTTAGAAATAAATAACGAAAGATTGGTGGTAACATATAAAAAACAATGCACACACACAATAAAAGCAAAAACAAACGCCGGTAAGACGAGAGGGTGCCTTCGACTAGACGCTTTAGCCTGCGCACAACATCCACGGTCTCGAACTTGTTTTTGGCTGATCGAATAAACATATTAACTGCGTTTCAATCATTTAATTCGCATTGGAATAGACTTTTGAAAATTCTAGTGCTTGGCCACAAGTTGTGGCCAAACTCAGAAATATATCTTTACTCTTATATTAAATCGATACATCGATAACCAAAGAATGCCGTGTTTTTGAGTATTAATGGTATTCCGCTTAAGGACCAAAATTATTCCTGTATGCGTTTTATTTTTCAGTTTATACAAAAAAAAATATTACTATTACTATTTATTAGTGAAGCAGTGGTCCAAGCATTTATAAAAGCGAAAACTGCGGCCGGAAAATGGAGCCTTAATATTTACATTTTAAATTTTATTTTGTTTCAAAGATAACTAGGATGACTTTTCTTAATTCATTTTTCACACGCGTTTTACAAAAATGTAATCCAGTTACATAAGTTATGCAATAATGTCATCCCTTTCTAAGATCAAAAGATCTTCCCGCTTTTTTGTTTTTGAGATTAATCGATCATGTATTTTTTTATAAAAACATCGATACTTCAATAACCATCTCTAGATTGTTTTGTTTTTATATTTGTTTATTGGTCGGAAATGTGTTACAAAAAATCCGATTCGTCATTTAGAAAATATTTTAAAAAAAGATTTATTTGTTTTCCATTGGCTTTTTTAACCTTGTGTCTTTTTGTAAAATATTCGTTAAAAACTGAAAACGAAAACGATTACAATGATTCGTCACCATCTAAATGTCTATTTTGCGGAATTGCCAGCGGTAGAATAACACCTCCAAAGCTCGAATTTGAAAACGATGAATATGTGATATTTAAGGATATAAAACCCGCTGCTACGTATCATTATTTGGCTATTCCCAAACAACATTTTGATAGCCTAAATGTGCTTAATAAATCCCACGTAGGCTTAGGTGAGTTTGGGTAAGGTTATTTACACAGTTTGTTTGTATTTATGTTATTTGTTTGATTGTATTTATGCTTTTGTTTATTTTTATGGTGCTTTATTATTCAGTTGAGCGCATGCAGAATGGCATGATTCAGTTTCTTGCATCAAAGGATGTAGATATATCAAAGTCAGTGATCGGTTTTCATGTTCCTCCGTTTATTTCGCAAAAGCATTTGCATCTACATGGGATTTCACCTGTTTCGGAAATGAGCTTTTCTGATCGGATTAGTTTCATGATCCCGTCATTTTGGTTTAAATCGGTAAGGAAAAAAAACATATTTTGTCTTTTAAATAATATTTAATAACAATAATGTTTTCCTATGTAGGCCAATAGTGCAATTGAATCTTTACAACACGCTGATCCCTAATTATGATGAAGATCGAGTCGAGTTTTTTTGTTTTTAATAAAAAGCTTTTAAAAACTATGAGATAATGTGGCGCTCTTGTTTTCAATGATATAGGGAAACAAAACCAATCCCCCGCCAATCGGTGAAGGGTTGTTCATTAATTGAACAAGAATTTGAAAATTGTAACTTTCTAACTTTACGTCGTGGCATTTGCCATGAAATTCGACAAAGGTGTGCTAAGCCAATAAAGTATCGATAGCTATGCACCGCTCTTACGATAGCGATGTGAATGTCATGCATAATATCGATAGTGCAATCGATTGCTTTGCAACACTAAAATCAGCACCAGCAAACGCTGAGTTTTAGTTTGTTTTAGTTACAAGATTCGCGAAAACCATTTGGGAAAATTGCTAAATTAAGCTGCAAATTAACGGATTGGAGCGCTTCAAACATAGTGCGTTCTAAACTATGCGCAGCATGTGGCCGCAAACGCTGGAAATGTCCCGCGACGAATGTCGGGGCATGCTGCGTCGACTTGGTAGGTGATATGCTGCTGCCGCCACCGCCAGGAGGAAGCACTTTATGTTATACAGCAGCTGCCCAGCTTCAGTGGATCTCGATTTTCGGCTAATTGGTGTCCATTTATTTGTATCGTTCAAGCAGAGTTAGAATCGTATTCGCATATAATAAGCGTTTTTCGCGCCCAAGGCTCGCTCAGTGAAACAAAAGCCAAACTGCTCGAGGAGTTGCGCCAACTGTTTCACATAACACAGGAACGCCACCGTGCGGAGGTGCGACGCGCTGCCAACGACGAGCAATTGTGCACCATTGCCGAGAAGTAAGAGCCTATATTCAATTGAGTGTTGAATATTCGAGTGCATATGTGACCGTGTCTCGCATTTTCAGCGTCTGCGGCCCAAACACATGGCAGGAATGGTCACGTGAAGGTCGTCGCCCATATCCGCTGCTGCCACGCATTTGTCCGCAAACAGCTCTGAGCATTGTGGCCAACGATCTGGCCGCAAAGGCTTATGCGGAAAATAGCAAACTGGCTCCGCCACATGAAACTGGGGCAAACCTAAGCGAAGCTCTTCTCGAACAGGCAACCTATCAGACCCTTAAGCATGGCATTACAAAACATCAGGAGCCCCTGGTCATCATGGATGAGCCGGTAAGTGCCCCAGCATTATATAACGCATTTCATTTGACCTGACCATTAACATATACGTACATACATATATGCGAATATGTATGGACATAGAAAGTACAGTCTGCGCCTGGGTCATTTGCTCTAAAGGTGGGCTGCGCCGAAAGGCAATGCGACTAAAGCAAGGTTATCTTTAGGGGGTTTGATTAGTGTTTTTAAAGATCTCCGCGCGTTTATAGAGAGAGTGAGAGAGAGGAGGGAGGTATTTACTTTTGGTAGCCAACTGATCCAATTCAAATGCAGGCATTTAGCAGGTATATTAAAAGATAGTCGTTTGCATAATTAGTGTTGATAGCATTGTGGAACGCCTGTCAATTTGTACATTATTAATTTGTAATGGTGCCAACTGTCGCTTATTGGATGTTGTGCACTTAATTAAGTTTGATTGAATTCTGCATCGCCAATTCTAACAGCCAGTGTCAGTTAACAGCAGAAGTAACTGTTAACTTACATTAACAGGCAGCTGATTGCTACAGCCCTAAATTATACAATCGATAAACAATTAATATCGATCAAACGCCGAATTATCAAAAAAGGGCCACATAATAACTGTAATTTTCAAAAACATTGTAATCCAGTGTTTTATTTAAAATAGGCGCGTTTTTGAAAAGCTAAATTAAAACACTTTAATTATATGCGGTTTCTTTGTTTTTGTCAGCTATTATTATTTTATTTTTTTAAACATTTAAAACATAGAAATGATTAAAATGCGGTTTCTAATTTCTCAACAATTACATTTCGGGAATAAAATAGCGACACGTGGCTGTAGGCTAGGCAGGCGATATGTTAATCCCAACACAAGATAAATGTTCCACAATGCCCTCAATATGGAACGAGGCACCAGACAATGCGAGCTTCCAAGGCTAAGCAACATGACTCCCATCCCAATATAAAACATTCTGGTCAGCAAGCCATACTTGGGATGTTCGTAACACCGGGGAGGCATTCCTCAACGGTAGAGGCAACGACCGTGTACACCTGTGCACATATAGACAGCGTAACAAAGTAGAAACTTCCCCGTGTGCACTGTCTTCCCAGTCAAATAGTCTAAAAAGTTGGGTTCTTGAACTTGGCTTTGCCCATCCGTAAATCCAGTTTTGAGTTGTAAGCCTTGTATTCCTATGTAGTTTCTCTGCCGCAATGCCGAGAGAGACTGCATTTCCCTTATTAGTATTATGCAACATTCAGTTTGGATTTGTGCACACGTTCTTATCGTTCATCTATAAATTTCTTTACTTATCGTTTACGATTATAGTTTAAGGTGCCCGACTTGCCGAATGAAATAAAAAAGGCAACATTGAAGCGAAAGGAGAACGAAACGGGCGACACGAAACCTAACAAAAAGCGTAATACACAACACGACAGGCAGCTGGGACAGCCGCAGCAGTCGTCGGCTCAGCAAAGCGGCGGCAAGGACGAAGATGGTCAACTGGTGCCGCTGGATCAGCGCCCCAGCGCCCGTACCCTGCAGCAGCGCTACTTTTACCAGCAGCAGCAGAAACATAAGCAGCGGGTGGCGAGCAAAAAGGGCGCAGGCAATGCGCTGGCCAACAACAGCGGCGTTCCGGGCGTTGGCGTCAACACGAAGCCTGCGAAGAGCGGAAGGCGGCGAGCACAGAAACAGCTCCAACAGCAGATGCAGCAGAAGCAGCAACTGCAACAGCAGCAGCAGCAACAGCAGCAAGAACAAGAGCAGCAGCAGCAACAACAACAACAGAAAGTATTATTGTCAGCGCCGACGCCAGCAGCCGAGCCGGCAGCGCACCCGAATGCCAATCACCTGGTGCAGCCACACGTGGAATACATACTCGACGAAGCGCTTAAATCGGTGGCGGCCACCAAATTGAAGACGATACCTGCGGCACGTGTTGTCTATGGTCCGCCAGAAATGCTTTCACCCACGACGCCCCGTGCGTTTGTTAACTCGCCTGTTGTTTTCAAGGAGAAATTGTCCCCCACGGCGCAGTCGCATCAGCAGCAGCAGCAGCAGCAACAGCAGCAGCCACAGTTGAGCACGCCCGTTAAAAAATACATTGTAGAGGAGCGCCAGCCGGTTGTTATAGGGACACAGCCGACATCTGCTAATATCTCAACGGCCAACCTGCCACTTGCCCCGCAAATAATCAGCGTGCAGCAGATTGCGGCTCCCCCGAAAGTACGGACAACAAGCAGCACCATTTTGCCAGCTGGTACGAAGCTGACGCCCAAGAAGATTAATTTGATCGACAAGCAGCAGCTGCCTTCCGTGCCCAACACAGCCGTGCGTCTGCTGCCCTACGACCAGCAGCCTGGCTCAAACCCAGCCAATCAAGGCACCACCAGCAAGTCGCCAGCCACGGCAGCTGTGCAGAAGTACATTGTCGAGGATCGAGTGCCCAATCAGAGTCAGAATCAGAATCAGAGTATAGCCACGCCTCTGAGCAGCGCCTCAGCTGTAAATATTATAAAAAATATACCGGCCAGCAGCTTGAATAACACACTGATCACGCCACTGAGCAGCTCGGTGACGCCCGGTACGCCTCTGTTTCGCAAGGCGGCGGCGACGACAACAAGCACGACGGCCGGCAGTGGTTCACCCTCCACGTCACAGATACTGGGTAATATTAAACTGACCAGCGCCAGCGCAATCAAGCATGTGCCCAGCAGTGCACTGCGCAACATCAAAATCTGCTCGCCCAATGGCAAGGTGTTCCTTCAGCCCGCCAAGCTACACAGCGGCAGCATTATACACAAACTAAACACAGCAAATGTCACCGCAGTGGCCGCTTCCGGCGCAGCTGGCGTCACGGTGAGCAGTGCCGCGCTTTCGCCCACGGGCAGTGCCACGCCGTCTTCACCACAATCGACACAGCAGCGAATTAAGATACAAGGCATGCATCTGCTGACGCCCAGCCAAGTGATATCGAGCGCCGCGGGCGGCACAAGCAGCGTAAGCGTAGTCTCCAGCTCCAGCATCGCTGGTAGCGGCGCCAAGGTCAAGCCCACCACTCTAACCCTGGGTCCGGCTGGTGTTGGCAAGAATAATTTGGTGTTCTTGCCAACGAGCGGAATGCGAGCAGTTACGCTGGCCTCCAGTAAACCCAAGTCCAGCGCCGAGCTGCTGGCTGCCAAGCCCAATGTGCTCGTCATAGGACCATCGGCATCTGCCAATGCGACTAGCAATGCTCAGACAACGGTTGCAACGACGTCTGCATTGGCCAAGATTAAGGCGCATCAGCTTATAACGGAGGACACGCCCATCGATATCATCAACATGCCCATCATTGTGGCAGATAATGGGACAACGGAACCGAAAACGGCTAACGTTAAGTCAGCGCCGATGGTGGTGCTGAATACAACCGACTGGGAAATGGAGCTCGACCAGGCTTCCAAAGCGGCGGCCGTCACAAATGCACCAGCAACAACATTTACTAATGATGCAAAAAGCAAGCAACCGTTGGATGATGTCATTGTAGAGGATATTGGGGAGGAGATGCAAGCGTCCAATACGCAGCTTAAAAATCGCAGTAAGTATTTTAATTGGTAACAACTGGTCAAATATTGATTGATGGTCTACATATTATAGTAATTGACATGCACGACGATGTCGACAGTGCCATTGAGTACGTGGACATGGAATTAGAGCAGCCCATTGAGATCGAGTGTACCAGTAACATATCGCCGGAGACACCGACCGGCAACAGCACAACCGCCACGTCGCTTAAGGCCACCATTTTGCCACCCTTGTTAGAAGCGGAAGAGAAGAAAAAGCTGGATCAACCAACAACAACAACAAAAACAGGGGAATCAGTCGCAGCACTAACGACAACGATGCCAGCGAAAACCTCGACGCTGCCGTAGGCACATGTGATGAGTTAGATAGAATATACCATGTGGATTTTCTTTTGCTGATCCGAAGTGGAACGCACAAACAAAAAACAGACATGTACACACACACACACACACACACACACATACAAACAAACACAGACACACACACACAAACACACACAGCCCGGTTTAATTTAGATT